ATTTAATTAATCAACAAAAGAAACATTAATACACAGTGAGATGAATTGTGAGTGCCGGTTGAGCTTTTTCTGATATAACATAAATGCTTTCAAACGCAATTTGAGTATTTTTCTTATGAAGTTAGTCCACGGCTATTATTTAAATAGACTACATTAGAACACACACGGCAGATTTTCAGGATAAACTGCCTCAAATTTAGATGGAAAATTCTGGACTGTAAAATATTACATATAGGCTGCTTGCAGATACAGAGTTATGACAGATTTTGTCACAATTTCGTCTTACCCACCACATGTTCCAGATTGCCCTAACAGCTCCCCCTCCAATCTTCCTGTGCTGAACACTGAATTAGCTTAATGAAGAAAAGATACGTTGTTGAAGCCGTACTTATGGAATTGATAAAACATATTTATAGACAGTTAAAGTTTCCTCTCAAAAGTATTTCAGTTTGATCTGATCCAAATAATGATGTGACAGTCTGCATAGTGACAGATCTGGCTTAGCTCTGCAAAGCATTTTTGATCTGAGAATCACAGGATGAATCCAACACCCTGCAGTCCAGCAGCATCAAGCTGTAACTCAGTTTCACAGAGTTTGAGTCATCTGTGTCTTCCTACAGTGTGTGTGTGTGTGTGTGTGTGTGTGTGTGTGTGTGTGTGTGTGTGTGTGTGTGTGTGTGTGTGTGTGTGTGTGTGTGTGTGTGTGTGTGTGCGTGTGTGTGAGAAAGAGAGAGAAAAGCTAGCAGCCAGAGCAGGAGTTCAACTTGAATAACATCCGAGGCGCACAGAGGCCTGAATAAACGGCGTCACGACCAGAACCGGCTCGTAAAAAAATTCAATAAATGTCATACATCCATCAACTTCTATCAAGCGCGTCAGTAAATAGCACGTTTTCAATGGAAGGTTAACTTTATGAAGGAGAGCAAGGGTCACTTCACTTGGATGACGAGTGACTCTGGGCCAGCATAAGCAGGATTTGCTCGTAGGGGCCCCAGCCGTTTGTTTTGCAGTGTTGGCACAACTGCGTACAGCCGTGGAGTTCAGGTTATGACTTTCCCAGTGGGGCCGTACAGAGGATCCGGCATTGCTTGTCTGGGATTCGGCCCCCACAGGAGTGCCTGCAAGGATGGCGATGGTACCCTGAATGTGGAAGAAGGAAGGTGGCTGAATTTCTCTCACTGTCTGCTGTCTGACTTCAGTCTTTCCACAGTTTTGGATCTAAATCCCTTCAGGAAAGATTAAAACGGAACAGAAGTGTGGAAAGGGACCACTGCTGAAACATTTTTAAAATCACCACCGCACCAGCCTACATGTAGGTCTCCCTTACACATACTCACCATAATCCCACACCTCCATGCCGCCCATGCCACTTCCGCCATAAAAGCCCTGGCAGTGATCCACGTGCCCATTAGCACGCGCTAAATAACTGTTAACAATGTATTACCCAGACTCCCCTGCTCCAGCACTTCTACCCTGCTCCGTGTCCCTTCAAAGCTCACAGGTAATTATGTCAAAGGTTTTTAATAAACAGCCTATTCAGTGCGCAGTGGGTAACGCCTACGCCTTTAGTGACATTTCTTTAAACGACACCTGAACAAATGAGCCGGGCTGTGATTGGCTGAACACAATAACTGGGTTAACGCGCACCTGCATGGCCTATTTTTCGGCTAATTAGCAAACAAAAGCTAGTCAGTAAATTGAGTGGCAAAAAAAAGATTAAAAAGGTGTGTATAAGGCATAGACTATCAAGAGTTTAATTATCAGGATTTGTATGTGTTTTTTTTTTTTTTCGCAATTAATTGTTTATTGTAGCCAGAAATTGAACACCAGCGTCATTAATCAAAACTAGGAAAGAGAGAAATCTGCCGTAGGCAACTTGATTGACACAGAGTAGCTCAGGTGGTGACAAACTGTGACGGTAAGAGACATGCAGGACATGCAGGACATGCAGGACTTGCAGGACAGGCATACGAGAGAGAAAATACACAGAAAATGAGGAAACTCAAAAACTTTAAACGTCCATGATTTTCCCCCGGTTACTAATGTGCAAAACACAACTTTAGGTTTATTTGATAAAGCTATGCCCCACTGCCGCAACATTTATATTCAAATAACAGACAGGTTTGGCGACAGAGATTTCGCCCACAGTTTTACAGCCAGAGCACATATAAGACTCGTCGCCAGGACCATCGAAAAAAATGCCTTCAAATTTGTTTTAAGTCCAAGATGAGCTCATTCCACAATCCCATAGCACGCCGCCGCTCATCGTGTACAAAGAGCTGAAGAATGAAAGACTGTTTTTTTTTCTAGATGCAACATTTGTGCACGTTTGCTTTGACAGAAAAGTTTCAATTTTTCCTCAATGAATGGTAAGCTTTCTTCCTATAGGCTATATTCTGATACTGGATGGGTATGCTAGGCTACGCAATCATTCTAAATAAGACTAATAAATAACAATAGGCCTAATAATATCTATATGAGGTATTAAATAAAAATGTTCATATACCATAATCGTACATGACTCTACAATATAGCAAATAGTCGAGGCAGTGCACCTGCAAACGAAAAATAATAATTACATTATCAATAACTACTTACAAATGACTACATACAAACCCGTAGGCCATAGCCTATATAAATATTTTTTTATTAGATTTTTGAACCATATTTAGGCCTATATTACTTTCGAGGACTATAGGCCTAAATAAGAAATGAACTGCGCTTATTAAAAGGATAAGCGATTAAAGTAAAAGAGTCCTGTCTTCATCACCAAGCTCTAACTTGACAGTAATGTTTTAAATATCATGGGCTACAGCCTTTATACTGCTTCTCATAGACCATCAGTAATAGGCCTACATGTTGAAATTGACCTATTATTATTATTATTATTAGCCTATCAAATAGGAATCAAATATAAAATAAATGTTATTGAGACTTTCATTTAATTAGAGCCATGTCTTCATTTACGGGTTACTGACTTAAAGGTTAGGCTATTTTTTTTTTAATTTATGAAAATGATTTAAAAAAAAAGAAGGAATTACATTTTTTTAAAGTTGTTAACATTGATCAATAACTGCTTGGAGTCTTTAACAGGCCTATTCAATGTAAAACCATGTTAAAGGAAGTATGGGCTAATTAATGTTAAACTTAAAGAATGTTTGGGTCATTTTCAGACTAACATTTAGCCCATTATTTAATCTTTGACGACGTGCTTTGTCTAATTTCATTTTTTTAACAATCTCTGTTTATGATTAGGCTACAGCTATGAAGGGCAAATATTGTGTTCTTATTATTTGTAAGTTATTTATGTCAAAGCCAAAATAGGTCATGCGGCTTTATGCTCACGTTGAATCGAAAATGAACGCTTTTGCAAACAGAGCGTAACCTATTTGATTCTCACGAAGTTATTAAGAAATAAGACATTTTTGAACCCCCACGGGAAGCGAAACACGAGGCTTTTGATCTGATAACCCACGCGGATCTGGGCACAGACCTTCCCCTTGACGTCCAATCATTTACACTGAATTTATGCCAATAAACGATGACGACGTGTTATTTATTTAACCAACAAGCCACGAGAGGCCTTGTGGGCTTTGCAGTGATTTTAGCGCAGGAAACATCACTAAAGCAAAGAGGAAACCTCAGAAAATAATTTAATCCTGATGGCACTAATGGCATTTCACATCATCAAATATGCAGGATGATTTTTGTTAAGGAGCAAAAACAAAAAACAAAAAAGACAAATTATAGCGGGATAATAAGACGTCAAAATGTTTCATATTAAACTGTTCAGCGATCGGTTTTGTTTATAAGAAACTGTATATCGGCTCAGGGCCATCAGGATATCGACTGTCGGTTTGAGAAACTCGGCTCTTGTTTATTTATAGCAGGTTCTCTTCTCGTGTTAAACTCTCCACACGCACTCACACCAAAACGCATTCCCCGCGTGACCACACGCTCATTCACGCGGCCTTGAAAGTGAGAGAAATCATTTCCAAACATGCATAAAAAGGGAATCAAAGTCATTACTAAGACTGTGAGATGAATGAGTATTAAATGATTTCTGATCCTGTTCATCCTGATTTTTTTTTCTGTCGTCCATTTATTTATATATTTACTTATAGACAACAATTGACCCATTGCAATATTTAAGTATTTCCTTTCTGAAATGTATGTTTTAGAAATAAGGAACAACAACAGATAAATATTTGATGATGTGAAATGCCAACCAACAACCAGAACGATCTTTAATTAGGCTATAGGAATTAGACTACAGATGAATTAGTTGTTCGTGAAGCCTACAAACATCAATCATTAAACTAAAATTTTAAAGCATCAACCTATCAATGTTGTAATCAGCAAAATATTATTATTATTATTATTGTTGTAATGAGTTTGTGTTGTTGCATTTTAACAAGGAATTTGTTTGCGCATTGTGGGGATCGTGTTGTTAGTTATATTGTGATTCTGTTACATGACGTAATTGTCTCAAAATAACATGAGATGACAACGTTTGGAGAACTGATTAGACCCAGAGCCGTACTATTTGGGGTTACAAAAAGAAAAGAAATACAAAGGTCTAAGATTAGTTAGCCATCTAAAGGGTTAAAGCAGACTGATCAATATGCACAGACACATTGTGAGACATTTCTTCTGTGAAAGACATGATCTATGTAAACGCCTATTTCCAGGCTGGGGGCCACAAGTGTCCACCGCGCAGGAGGTACTAATGGCCAGATATGCACAGCATGTCGGGCCGGTGTGTGAAAATGCGCACAATGCCCCGGAGAGACACTCCTCGCGCTCCTGATTCAATCACCAGCTTTACTTTTACCACATAAGGCGGCACGAGCGGCCCCCACAGCGGGCGGGACCAGCGTAAAGTTCCGGGGGGGGGTGTGATTACTCGTGATTGGTTGCCATGTTTGATGATTGACAGGTCCTCTTCTCCGGCTCTCCTCTAAACTCTGGTTGTTGACACTCTCCTAAAGTCCGCGCGGCTCTCACGGATAACGGAGACATTATTGCAGCTCGTGCTGACTCGCGCTGTTTCCTCTGCTGTCCGGCTCGAGGACGGACAACACACCGCACCGAGAGCACTGGACTGTCTTCGTGGATTTCTTTTTCCCTGTTGTCTGAGCTTAGAACTTATTTTGCTTCCTGCGTCCCACTTTTCTGACCCGAGAGCGCGAGACATGGCAGAGAAACGGAGGTCCCCGTGCGCACTGAGCGTCAAGGCGCACGCGTTTTCTGTAGAGGCGCTCATCGGAGCGGAGAAGAGACGCAAGACAGCCGAAGAAGAGGCCGTGTCCCCGAGCTACGAGGACGGCACTGATGTGTCCGACCTAACCGGGAGCCCGGGCCCGCGAGCCGATAGAGCGTGCACGAGCGACCGGGGAAGCGAGGCTGAGTGTGCGAGTGACGGATCCCGTAAGTAGCCCACATTAAACCATACACTAAAAAAAAAAGTTAGTTAGTAACAATATTATCTTAAAAATATATAGGCCTATATAATTAATCAGTGCATACATGAGGAGAATAATATCCTGTTAGCCTATTGTTGGCTGCGTGTGTTTTGAAAAGGCTTTCAGAATTTAATCTGTCAAACATGGGCAATGTGCATTTCATAAAACTTATCACAGACACAAATTTCATATCAAAGACGGGACATTACATAGACCTTACATAAATAAATGTCAAATGCACAACTTAAGACCATAATAATTTAAAAACCAAGTCTATTTTTTTTTTTCAGGAACAAACGAAAGTCTTACTTCGAAGCTCTTTTCATTTGTATCATGAATGTGCTCCTCTACTTTCTGATTGTGGAAAATTCAGTAAAAAAAAACAAGGCAGAAATGAAAGATTAAGGCAGAACATAATTTGGTGCTTTGGTCAGAGCCACAGTGTGGAAATGTGATATCATATCATTGCCCTGCTCTAGTAAATATGAGTGGTGTGAGTGTGACTAATGTGAGCCACTTTATGAGCTGTGTTGCAATCATAAACACGCCAATTAGCAGCATGTAAAGGCCGGGAAGCTGCCTCGGAAAGGATGCTAAGAGGTCTGCAGAAAACACAAACCGAGTGGCCATGACAAATTATTATTTCAATCTGCTGTAAACTGAAAATGCACTGCGGGCTGAGGAGTTGTTGTGAGCTTGGCTTGTTAGGACCATTTCTAATGTCCATAAATTGTGTCCACCTGTGACGAATAACACAAATAACATGAACAGAGAGGCACATAAACACTGATATTAGTTTGCCCTCAATATTAAAATACACTTTTAAACTCAAGTATCCCACCAGGAAAATCATTAAACAGTTGCTAGTTGGACTGAAAATTGGAGTTCAGTAATGACTGAATAGTAAACTTGCCTTTTTGCTACAGCATCATAATAAACTATGTGCATAGGACCTTAATTCCAGAATGAGAGTGTAGAGTGACCTTGGGTCAAAGAGAAAATGCAACTACAAATTCTAAACTTCGTGTGCAACAGTGAAGAGTGACTTTAATGGACGTATAATCACTTGAAAGCATTTTTATCGTCTTGAAATAATCCAGTAATAAAACAGTGTTCAGCAGTGTGTAGTAAAACAAAAACATTTGCAATTACACCTTTTTTCATGACAACCTCAATAAAAACGCAGCCTACATGTTTTAAAGGCTTAATGCAAAATGCAAAACGTGGTAGCCTCTAAATACTTGGTTACTTGGAATCAGATGATAAGAATCCATTCTGAATGTTGTTTTATTCATTTTGAAATATTCAGATTTCAGTTTCTCCCATTCGCCACGGTTCAGAACCGAAGTCACACCTTGTAAATGACTGATGCTTGCTTTGGATAGCTGTGTGACCGTTGCAAAATGTTCATCTCGCTCTTTCCCCCGGTGCAGCAGAGAGCGAGGACGCGCTGCTGGAGAGTCCGCAGCCCGCAGCTCTGTGCACGGCGCCGGCCACCGGCACCGGAGAGGAGTCCCGCGTGGACCTGCAGGGATCGGACCTGTGGAAACGGTTCCACGAGATTGGCACGGAAATGATCATAACCAAGGCTGGACGGTAAGAAGGATGTACAATGGAAATGGATATATGTTTGGAAGAAGAAGAAAAAAAACGCTCTTTGATTTTTAAAGGAAGAATGATGGTTTCAAAATTATATTCGGGATGTGAAGCGATTTGCTTTAGTTTAACACACATGTTTATGTAAATAAAAGAAGTGGAGGCCTAATTAAGACTAAAACAGTCGTGTGGATAATCACCTTTTAAGATAATGTCTTGAACCACATAATTCACCGTTATAAACTCCAATTTATGGTAGCCTACATAATCCCATAGATTTAGCAAAAATGCCATCAAAACTGATTTTTTTTTATTTTTTTTTACTGAATCTATCCTTGTAGCTCAGATTATTAGTATTTAGTAATACTGGCTGTGTTTCATCTAGCATGGCTGAAATGTGTAATGCAGATGATTTATTTGGGTTTCCTGTATAGGCGGATGTTCCCCGCTATGCGCGTCAAGATTACGGGCTTGGACCCACATCAGCAGTATTATATCGCCATGGATATAATCCCTGTGGATAACAAACGATACAGGTACGTGCGCACACACACACCTGCACAAACACACTGCTGCATATGCAAGCCTTGAAAAGCACATAACTTCGTAATCCTTTTTTACATTTATACACGACATTATTTCTAAAGTAAAAAGTTAAATCCGCTATAGAACTTGTAAAAAGTGACCTAAACTGTCTGCAGGCTCCGTCGGTGGCCTGTAAACTCCCTCGCATGCCTTATAGGAAGGGGATAAAATACTTTTGCTCACATGTAGTCTTAATTTAGATAGGCCAACAAAGTGCCCATATAAAGTGTTTCTTGGACAACATGACATTTTTCAATTGTGTAAGTCCAGCTATGTGTCCACAAATGGCGCTTGGCTCTGGTGTTTTGTCACAGCGGTTTTGCCGTCCCGTTTGGAGGAGGCCTTTTGGACGCCTAACCTCTCCATCCTGCGAGGTCAAATCAGCAAATGTCGCTATAATGCAGAAAAAAACAACAGCGGTGTTTCTGCAGCGGCGTGAATGCAGCCAATTCTCACTGCAGGTCCGTCACAGTAGACTTTCAGGAACCGTACAGTGAATAACTTTTTAGCGGCGTGGTCGATTCGCCAAGATTTTACATAAAGTTTCAGTGGATTACGAAAAAGATGTGCTGGCGTGCACACACAGGTCAGAGCCGAGGTCAGCGTAGGCGTACAGGAAGTGCAGGTTTTTAATCAAACGCATCACAGCAGGTGTCGAACTGACCTCCAACCAGAGGAGAGACTCATAGCCGCTTTCACTCTTAAAGCCAACAGATCATAAACATAGGATTTCGATTTAAATTGTTAAGTGTTGTTAGGTGTGACTTCGTGCATAAAATACCTAAAATAAAATAAAAATAGCTTCAAAACATCTTAAAAGCTTAATAAAAAAGATTCATTACTGGGTTTGATCATTTGTTTGACTAAAAAAGTAAAATAGTTGTGCTTTACTTCAGGATTTAAATTGAAATATGGAAAGGTAGTCTGCAGTTGAAAATAGGAAAGCATTATTATTTCGTTTTTTGAGGAATTGTTTTTCCATGTTTTCCTTTTATTATTTACTCTAACACACACATGGCACTCTCTCTTTTTCTCGCTCTCTCTATTTTTAAGATAATGTAAGTGGCTTCATGATTGTTTTGGATCAAGCAAGACTAGAAACCTCCCTCATTGTAGATTGCTAAAGCAAAAATCATCAGTTAAATATAAAAAAGTAAGAAATAAAGATAACATGGGGAATGGCAAAAGGATTACAATAATTGTTTTCTTGTTTTGTGACATGAATATTTATTGCATACATGCGTGCACTCTTCTCTGTCATAGTTTAAATCAAGTCTTTTGAGAGGATTTAGAAAGTCAAGAATTATGTAGTGGAATTTGAGGACACAATTGAATTAAAATTTTATGCATTTAGACAACTTTTGAGACAATTAATTTTTGTCTCAAAAATGATTATTCCTTGTAGCCATTGTAATGACATTTCAATAGCAAGTTCATGCTATTGAAATAGTCAATGTAAGGGTTCATGTCTTTTCATAAGAAGTTTAAATGGGGAAATATTGAGCTAACCAAGAATTCGCCTGGAGTCTTATTATTCTCTGTCTCTATTTTCTGTCTCATTCTGTAATAAGTCTCAATATCGCCTTTAGTAACATCTCCCACTTTCAAATCACCACAGTTGGTTTTTTTTTCTTGGCCATTTCTTGACATTGTGTTTAAGAAATAAAGTGTTGGGACACTTAGTCATTTACCTCCCTGCGTGTTTCATAAAGGTACGTGTATCACAGCTCTAAGTGGATGGTAGCTGGGAATGCAGACTCTCCAGTGCCGCCCAGAGTTTACATCCACCCGGACTCCCCGGCCTCAGGGGAGACGTGGATGCGTCAGGTGGTCAGCTTCGACAAACTCAAACTGACCAACAATGAACTGGACGACCAGGGACATGTAGGTGTTACAAAAACAGTCATTTGAAATATCTTTATTATCTGGCATTTTACAGTTACAGTTGGTATGTATGATTTAATCATTGATCATAATCTTGTATCAAGTTTCTTTGCAATAATAATGCAGTAGCTTTTAAGATTTTAAAAGATGGAATAAGCCAAATAAACTCCAATTTTCCGCATGTTTCTACGCATCCACATGTGTGCATGTCTGTTATATAACAATCGTGTTTTACAGCTTTGAGTTAAATTGAAGAGCTGTTGTGCAATTTAAGCCTGAAGGAATATTTCTTTATGTGTTCAGATCATTCTGCACTCCATGCACAAGTACCAGCCAAGGGTCCATGTGATCCGTAAGGAGTGTGGAGAGGAGTTATCCCCAGTGAGAGCTGTGCCTGCTGGAGAGGGAACCCGCACCTTCGCTTTCCCTGAGACCGTGTTCACCACCGTCACAGCGTATCAGAATCAGCAGGTAACATAGCTGCTCCACCGCAATACCACATATCCTGTAAACAAACAAATTGAACTGGGTAAACCAAGCTCGCTTTAAGCTTACTCGTATAAAACATCCACTAATCCATTACACAGGTGCTACAATGACTACCTGGTGGCCAACATATATTGATTGTTATGTTGTTTGTTAGTGAGTGATTAAAAAAGAAAAATGTTTAAATTAAGTTTTTGCAGGTCACACCAGAGTGGGATATCTTCCACTAATGTTTTGACACAACAGACTATAAAGATATGTAAGAAGTTAAATGAAAAAAAAAAGTAAGGATGTCATGTTCTGTTTTTCGTCTGGTCTACATTTTTACAGCAAATTTCTGAGCGTGTGTTTTCCTCGGTGTGTTTGCGTTTTCTACCAAGAAAACTCTGAATAGACTGGAAAGAATGACTCTGCTACTCATTTAAGTTGCATGTTTGAAGTATTTGTCCATTTTAATTTGTGCTCTAAAGAGTCATTTTTCTGGACTTTTTCCAAAGAATTTCAAAGCCCATTCATTTCTTCAATAAGGGAAAGAAATGTTTTCTGTATTTTAGCATAAGATGAGTCAATGTGAGGTTTGAAGTTGGATGTTAGCTTGGACTTGCTAGCCCACAGCGCAGAATGGCGAGGCCCATAAAAATCCCCTTGGATGCGGGTCGGCCTTAAACACCACACACAGCCTGGGCAACCTTATGGCAGCCGCGCATACATTTACAAACATGCACACAAATGAACAAATTAATCTACTGTATGTGTGTATGGAAACGCACAAACCAAGCATATCCAACTAATTCAAAGAGCACAATTGGCAGCTCACTATGCGCATTATTTATTTATAGATTTGATTGAAAGATTACAGACGAAGGAAATTATTTTGGCTGGAGCACAGGACATGTTATCATCGACTTTGTAATAAAGAAAATGTTGGAAATAAATAGTCTTATTTCACTTTTCAGATTACAAGGCTGAAAATTGACAGAAACCCGTTTGCAAAAGGCTTCAGAGACTCTGGCAGAAACCGGTGAGTTCATTTGGACCACAGAGATTTTCACATTATCCTGTGCATTAGGGGTAATGTGGGATGCATGACTGCATTATATTCTGGCTTGGTTGTGGTTTTTATCACGGCTATTTCAGTCCCATTTTTATGGGGAGCAAAGCTATGTATTTATACTTTTTTTTTTTTCTAATGGAAAATGTGCAACAGCCTCCCATTAAATCTGTCCAAAACGAGAGAAAAGAAATGGACTAATCTGAGCAGACGTGGCAGATATTATGATTTCACCCTATTAATGGGTGATGCATTTTTATTTAAATGTGCTAACTTTAAAGGCACATTAATTCTCACAATCTCACAGTTACAGACTCATGCCTGAGGAGGGAAAAACCTAACCCTGGCTGCAAACCTAAATGGAGCGTCAGATTCCAGCCGGCCTCAGGAACATAAACATCAACAGCAAAATAATAAAAGTCAAGAGTGTCCTGAAGAAAATCTGTATAAACACATTTCTAAACATATATAAACACAGCATTAAAACAACACAGCAGTAAAACTCCAACAGGCTCCAAACAGCCACTCCCCTGAGGCCTCACAGAAATCATTAGAGAGGAGGGCGGAGAGGGAACATGTGAGACAGAAAATTTGACAGGGAGAAAGGTAGAGTACGGCAAACTGGATAACCCTGACAGCTGACCCTATAAAGTTAAACTCAGGAAGGCTGAAAAAAATACCTCCCTTTAAATATTACAGGAAGAGTTAAGCAGTTTGCTAAATAAACTTCTGCACTGATAGGCTGCTTCAGAGCACACACAACCTCTCTGGGCAGCTTGTCTAAATTATCACCGTGGCTACAACCCCGCGGGGGGGAGGACTTTTATCCTCACGCTAACGAGGGGTAACAGAGCACTCGCATTACCCCGCCACAGCAGCCCTCTGCCCCACCTAGAGGAGGGAGGGGGACGCAGATTTTGCGGGGGAAGGGGAGTCCCACCTCATAAATCCTTGCTGCGGCTTCCTGCTCCTTCGTCCTGATTCGCCCGTAAAAGCCGTGTGAAAGCAATTACCTCCGAGCACCCGGCTGGCAGCAGCCAATCGCAATGTGGCGTTTATGCCCCTCATTACCTGCGGTCTCCATGGAGATGGCAAAAGAGGCCCCACGGGCGACTAAGATGGCCGCCAGGTGGTCGAAATAATGTACGACTAGTGAGGCATGCTGAGAGCGAGCGGCTGCAGCTGCATCAATGACTGAAAAAAGTGCAGGACGAGGAGTTCTGCCATGAATGATTTGGTGATAATTGATCATTTATTCAATGCTGATGTGTTTGTGTTCATCTCTGTGTGTTTTACAGGATGGGTCTGGAGGCTTTGGTTGAGTCTTATGCCTTCTGGCGGCCATCTCTTCGAACACTCACATTTGAGGACATCCCCGGCATGGCCAAGCAAGGTAGAGTTGACTAGAAGGACTTTTCTGAATTCAAAGACAGCAGTATGTCATTGCCAGTATTACATTTTACTGTTTTTTTTAAATGAAATCACTAAGTTTTTAGAAGGGTAAAACTTTGGCAAATAAAAGGAGCTAGTAAGGTTAGGGAAAGATTTTGGACAATTCTTGTCATGACCTTGTCATTACTGTGTGCAGGAAGTGTTTTTTGTACACTGAACACCATCCCAACTTCCCATAGAGGTTTTGCTTGAATGACTTACACATATAAACATCGGGAAACTGGAAAGTCTGGTTTGGTCATACCCTCGACTCTTGAATACTGCGGTCGGTTTAGAGAGCCTGCCGGATCAGGAGGAGGACTCTTCTATTAAAATGACTAGTTTCATTGACATAACTACAACATACATCTATATAACATGAATCTGCAATACTTAGTACAAACCTAAAATTGGAAACGATAAACTGTAAAGTCAACTGAGGCAAACAGAGAAGAAAGCAGCAAAACTGTTCAACATGAACAGCATCACCAACACGCTTACTCAAATGCCTGCTGCGTTCACACATCGGCTCACTTGGACATTAAGCAGGCTTTGCCATATCTGGCAGGTTATAGGTATTTTATATGTGGGTCAATTTATTCAGACATTTGTGTCCTAGCAGGCATTCCACGTGTGAAAGGGGTTTATGAGTAACTTCCTTTTTAAGTTGTGAGAGTCATTATTTGCCCGGTTGCAACAAGAAATATAATCACATTATGCCATTTTCAGTAATTTCCTAAAGTCTCATGGGGTATTATTGATACTGATTAGGATACCTCATCATTAACTCGTCGGTGAACTGATCAAATACCTGTCAACACCTTATTTATTGGAATAATTATGTCAAATGAATTTAAGTAAGGGAGTCTTTTGGTCCTAAATGAACATATGTGGTAACAGAAATCATGTGAACAACAATTGCATTGACTTGGAAAATGTAATCAAGTGAGGGTCATTACTTGATTCACCTAATAAGACTTGTTTGTAATGTAAGCCTGAAGGAATATTTATTAGTCATTACATTAAAGCCATTATGTGTCATTAAGACGGACAAAGGTTTCAATTATTTTCTGGTTCTGTTTCTGTAGGACTCCCTGGAGCTCATGGAGCATCACCTCACCTGCTCTCCACTTCCCCATGCTCCTCACCTTTCCAGGTGTGCCCACTAAGTCCACCTGACTACAACTGCGGCCGACCCACACACCCTCTCCATCGCTATAGCAACGGTCCGGAGCCATTCCCCCCTCCCAGAGGTCCGTCTGCATACGAAACCGAAGGATTTTGCTCCCTGCCTCTCCCTGCTACTCAACTCAGCTATCTAGCCAACCCTACCCCTCAGGGTTACGCCAGTCTACGCCTCCACACACCGCCCTACAGCCTGTACGGTTACACATTCCCTCCATCACCACGCCTTGCTGCCAGCCCTGATAAAATGGCTGCCGCTGCCACTGCCAACCATCCCAGTCCCTTCCTTGGCTCATCTCCCAGTGGGACTCTAACAGACAGTCTGGGTGTGCTCAGTGGAGGACAGCAGGGCTTCTTGTTTGACTCTCGGACTTTAGGGTTGGCAGGTAGCCAAGCGGGAGGCGGGTCTCGCAGGTCACTGCCCACATGGGCTGAATTTGACTCCAGACATCTATGGTTGTCATGAAACAAAGTGACTACAAAGGAATGGGTGTAATTTGCTTTTGAGTCAGAACTTTTACGAATTAATCATCCATGTGCTGAACGAGCATCAGGCTGGTGAGAGAGGAGAAGCTGTGGCCTCAGTGGCCATAAAGAGCTTCACAAGACTTCCTAAACCGGAGGGAATATATAACAAAGTTCTTATCTCAAGCATACTCTCTAGGACATGCACGTGCAGCGACAGTAAAGGGATACACTTTCTCCAGCTTTGGATAAGAAGTCAAAAAGATGTATAAAGTGACTGAACTCTAGCTGAATATGTACTGGGCAGAAACTGTGCAGGTCCAGGCACGCAATGCAAGCACTTCAAGCCCTGGCCAGGCCCTGTACTTTATCTTAAAGACTTACACCGCTTTTTACATGCCCTTCCTTATCATGCAAACTTTGGAATTAGTTACTCAACACTTCTTCTAACCTTGTTTTTGTTGGGGGGGCAAAATTTAGATAATTCCATAAATTAAATTCTGCCGCTTCACACCTGGTGGTGTTCAAGTCTTTGAAAAAACAAACACACAGCTAAAGTTCATCTATAAAATGCACTACTGGCGGGACCTTTTGACCACTCTGACTTAAAAAAAAACTTTACACATACAACCCCAGAACCCGTCACATATTCACACAATGACATCATGGCCATGGGGAGAGCTATGGGAGCCGTCCCAGTGACAGTTATGGACTGACAAAGTTAAAGCTTCGGACTGAGCTCCTTCTTCTCCGTCTGGTTTGACGGACGTTTATGTGATGCAGCTGTTTGGATGTCAGGAGGAAGAACATCTTTCCTTGTGTGACACAAACCTAACTGGACATGATGACTCTGTATATAGCGAGAGATGTGTATATAAAGGGTTGTGTGACACTTCGCACTTAAAAACTCTGATGCACCTGCTTCTGCTCTTTCGACCGGGTCAGGTACATGACAGCCAACCCTGAACCTGCCTGAAAAAGCTTTTCTTTGCAAATGCGCTATATCAGCTCGCCCTTTGGCTGAGGACCTTAACATGTTCTGTGACCTTTTTGAGCCAAATAAAATATATCTATTCATGTCACAATGTTTCTATGCAATCAGTATTTAACTAATTTAACTGATTGACTTACTATTGTTTATTATGGAAGTCATAAAAATGCACGTTTTCTTTACACATTTCTTAAAGCAATTATAATGCCTACAATATAAAATATGTCATCACTATTATAGCCATATTGTGTATGTGATTATGTGTGTGTGAGTGTGTGTGAGTGTGTGTGTGTGTGTGAAAAAGCAGTCAAATGTCAGTTGTTTTTTTAGCAAGCTTTTGGTGCTAGAGACAAAATAACTCGCAGATACACGATATCCATTGCACATGCAAATAACACACCATTTTCATTGTGTAATGGTCATGCAAACTTACACCTACAACTCTACTGAATTGACTAGTCACACGGGGAAGGGTGTGCAGTGAATCTAGATGTGGGTGTGAGGGTGCTGATTTGTGTGTGTGCGCATTTGTGTGTTATGTGTGGGCCAACAGGTGGTTGAGTTGTCAGCGAGTGTGTGACCTCACAGTCTCAAAGTTCATGTCGATCCCTGAGTATTAACCCCCCACCCCCTCCTCTCCAAAGTCATTCTACACTGCTGCTGAAAGCACAAGCCAAGATTTTTTCAGTGAGCAGTTTGTAGACACTCAAGCTTTGTCATTTTAACCCATTTTAACACCTGAACAAGCGCTTCAGCCAAGCACCGACACAAAACACAGTCAGAGTTCTCCAGAATACAGGCTCGAAAAAGAAAAAAACAAACCAGTTCAACACACTTCATGTCTATCAATAGTTTTGACTGAACAGCATTTTGACAGTAAAGATACTAAACTACATTTTTTTTTAAAAACATCAACTTTAGCAGTCATTCAAACCATAACCATTCATAAAAGTTGGAAAACAGGAATCTAAGACATGAGTTTTGCATCGTCCCGCTTCTATTGGACAGTTGGTCAATGCTCAAAAATATTACGGTGTCCCCCGTTAGCTAACAAAGACGTGTACAGGCTTAACCATATCGGTACTGCAAACGTTTGTAATGCAACCCAGTTTGAATAATTATTGAAGGTTGAATAATTATAAAATGACACATTTTGACAAGATTTTTGTCGACAACTAAACTTGTGTTCTCTATTTACGATCGTATTAATTATTGCTACCTTGAACATGTGTGTTAACTTGACACTATTTTGGTACCTAGAGCGTCATATTTTCACCAGGTTGCCTTATTTTTTAAAAGTTGGGAGTGAGGACATGTTGTAGGGGGAGTCTGAATATAATCCTAAACCACTTAAGAACACCCAGAATTGTACACTGACTTAAATCTAAAGATGAACCCAGGATTTTTAGAGTGTGTGTGTGTGTGTGTGTGTGTGTGTGTGTGTGGGCTTAAGAATCACATTATCTTAATATAAATTAGCTCTATAAGCAATCAAATCAGCTAAGCAACCTTGGAGCCAACAAGAGTTTCAAACAGAAAAGATATCAATACTTAGCTCTGAAGATTGAATTATGCAAATTCTCTGAAGTGGGGAATCTGACGTTGAGTTGTCTGATGGGTCACATCTGTACGACATGGTGCACTTCACCTGTTCTTAGGGTTAGGGGTTGATCATTTTTCCCAAACATTTAACCAAGGAGCTACAGCTTCACTCCTGCTGTCCTCCGTTTCCTTCCTCACCTCCTCTGCTCCCCCCTCAGTTGTCTCCTGTCACTCTGAAGGTGAGAGGTGCTGACGAGGGGAGCACATGTGAGGGGGGAGAGGACTGAAGAAGGGAGGAGAGCTTATTTTAGAACCCAGGAATGATGGGCTTGTTGTTTCTGAGTGACAGGGGACGGGACCCCTGCCTGGTGCATCCATACCACACACACACACACACACACATTGCAAACACAGACAGAGATATATACACACATTTATACACAATATTCTTTTAACCTGACAAGTTGTTGAAAAACTACGCTTTGTAGTAATTCAAAGTTTAGCAGGTGTGATTCAAATGAGTTGGAAGCTGCAAGAAATCTCATATATTCACACAGGCACACTCTGCGTGGTGTCATCGGTTTAGTGATTCTCGGCTGAGGTGGGGACATTAACACTTGTGTACGACCAGGTGCCGACGTGACAGATCTGTCACGCTATCCGCCTGGAGGAGGAGGAGGACAGCAGGGGACGAGGAACGGAGAGGCAGAGAATAAGAGCAGTATGTATGTGTTTAAGATTTCTACAAATCTACAAAATTTCTACAAAATTAAGCAAGTCCGTCCGTAACTCAGCACTGTGCACTTCCAATTCATGAGGGAACATGAAAATGTATTTGAAATACAATCAAGGCAAAGAACCAAGACGATCCAAACTGGCATTTGTGCAGATTTCTATATTGTTCTTATGCTTGAGATCTAATCACATAATGGCTACTCTTTTTTTTTCAGTTGCGCACGGGTAAGGGCAGACTTTTCTTGAGGGCAAGAAAAATGAAATACTAGGAGGTTTGCATGTATGGCTCATCTTCTTGGGCAAATAAACACTCAATCTCTTCACCATGGCAACCCAACAATGACCAAAACGGAGCAAAAATGTATCGTCAAGCAAAAATTAAAGCAAAAAGGAATGAGACGGAAAGTGTAGTGTCAGTGACAGTGAATATCCAGATCAAATATTATGGACTTAAGGGTGATTAGTGCGATAGCCCCATGTACAGTGGCTGTAGACTTTCCAGCGGGCAGCCCGAGTTTGAATGGGACCTGTTGCTGCTTTCCTGTATGCCATTTCCCACTCTCTCTGATTTCTGACTCTATAAACTGTACTATCTCTAAATGAAAGTTACAAAAAGCCTAAAATTTAATTTATATATATATATATATATATATATATATATATATTATGGACTTAAAACAATTGTTCTTTTCATTTGGTGCATCCTTGCACTGCAATAAAAATATTTGACGTTTGTTTGACGTGCAACAAGTGCAATCAGTTTTAGTTTGTTTTCCAAGAACATAAGCAAAGGAGAATTAAGATAAGGAAAAATAAATTTCTTTGAAGATAATTTAATAAATCTGTACATATATACTGTTATTTTGAAGTTGGAATGAAGCATGTACTGTATAGCCAATTGAGCTAATGCATCATATCCGTCAGTCAACCTTATAAAAGCTACTTTTCAGGGGTAGCTGGTGGCGTAGTGGTTGGTGCTGTGCCCCATGAGTGTTGTTATTCTCCAGGCGGGCGGCCTGGGTTCAAGTCCGATCTGTGACTCCTTTCCTGCATGTCATTTCCCACTCTGTCTCTCCCTGATTTCGGACGCTTTACTGTCCTATCGCCACAATAAAGGCACAAAAAGCCCAAAGATAAATATTTTTCAAAAGCTTCCTTTTATTGGGAACCTCAAACTATTTTAAATAATTTAAGGGTAAGATTACATTAAGATTCATATTGAACCTGGAATTGGTTTGCAAACCCAAAACCTTTATTTACTCATCTGTTTTTTTTCAATTCGTCATCAGCCCAATTTGAGAGCAATACAAACCAGGGTGTTTAATGTATCATCTTGACTTGTAATATCTATAATTATCCTAAGTGGACTGCACTCTGACTTAATGTTAACATTAGCTGCACATAAATATTTGCAGTGCTGCCAAAGCATCTCATCATGACACTGAATATCCCCAAAGCTCTGAGGCATCAAATCAAAGCTGAGAGGCATCAGTCTTCACTCCATAGTGTGTTTGCATGTGTGGCTGTGTATTTATGCCAGCTCAGGCTTACTAATATAGACACAGACTATAAAAGTGAAGCATGAATGACAGAAAATCTGATTACTGGGTCATGGGCTAAGAGGCTCATGATTTAAGAGGTTTGTTGTCATGACAACTATAAATACAATCTACCCAACATCAGCTAAATGTAATGTTTTTGGAAAGCACACACACACACACACACACGCACACACACTTTGCCTTCTTGCAAACCTTCAAAGTCTTCCATTTTCTGTTACTTGGTGCTGACTACTGAAGGCCATTACAAGCACGTCTGACCTTTGCAGTCAGAGTGTTTACACAGTTAGTATCTATCACATGGACATACTGTAAGTTACCAACACCCACTGCAGTGCAGCCCTCTACAAAACAGTCAGACTGTCAGTGAATTATATCTACTTTCAAAAATGGAATTAGCAACAAGAGCATAAGAAACTACTAGAGGAAACTGTTTCCTTAAAATGTTTCCCATGAACAGGATGTTGGTGTCTGGCATCTACAAACAGTGAGCGTTGGAGTAAATGGAATAAACCTATTTACCATATCTTTCCTTTTAGCCTCTCATTCCTCAGGGGAATTGGCTACCCCAACCTCTCAACACAGAAGTTAGCATTAGCATAGAGGCCAGTTATGTGGTTTTAGCGTCCTGTGTGATTGAAGTGTGCATTAACATACGCTTGACGGCGTGACCACGTGGTTGAGCGTGCTCAGAGGGGAGTTGTGGCCAGCTGAGCGTGACCAAGCATATAATCTGGGGAGTCCACAGGTGAGGTCATGTTGAGCTGTGACAAGGAAAGTTCCCTGGAGCACAGAATAAGGTTTGGCAAAGAATATAGCAACTGTCAGAAGCCAAAGAGAAGTCTGTTTGTATCTGATGAGCAGGATATTTGAATTACAAATGGCGGTTTAGACAAACTTTTTGGAATTAAAAGGAAAGCCTTACTGTAAGTTTATTGAGGACAAAAGTACAGTGGCTGACAAAGGGACAGTCGCTGCAAGGACTCATGTCATTTAGAGAAATGTGCTGCATTTTCATGGCTGCATGCATGATGCGTGTAAAAAAAACACAGCAAAAGTCCAAAAACAAACGGGATAAATGTGTTGTAGAAACCCCAAAAATGCATTAGCAGCAAAAAATGCAAAAACTTTAATAATGCTACATTAAAAAAAAACACAAACTCAGAAAGCAGTTGCAGCAGAGAAAAACAGAAAAGCCAGTTTACACAAGGTCATTCTTGCA